GGCGATTTCTGGCCACCCCACTAACCGCGTTAGTGCTCTGACGGTGGACCTTGAGAACACTGGGAATCCGGAATCGCTTTATAACATGGACTTCGCCTTTGTCCAAGGCACTTCTCTCTCCCAAAGGCTGACAGATCCCGACAGGGTCCTGGTGGACTCCGTTCTTTTCCGGGAGGTGTGAGAGTCATTGAGCCCTCACAGCTCACTGCGGTGGGTTGAATGGGGTCCCCCAAAATGGTACGGCCAAGTCGTAGTGCCGGTATCTGCAAATGGGCACCCTATTTGGAGAAAGGGTCTCTGCAGATGGAATTAAGATCCCTTCTTGTGGCTCTGAAGATGAGGCACTCCTGGCCTACGGTGGCCCAAGGCCAAGGACTGCATGTCCTCCTGGGGAAAGGGGAGGGCGATTTGAGACGCACACCCATGGAGAGAAGAGAGCCGTGCGTGACAGAGGCAGGGGTTGGAGCGGCACTTCCACAAGCCAAGGTGGCCAGCAGCCACCAGGAGCTGGGATGGAGCCTTCCTCAGAGGGTCTGGGAGAAACCAGCCCTGCGACTCTGATTTCAGACATGGTCTCCAGGATTGGGAGAGAATACATTTGTGTAGCCGTTTCTTGTTTGTTTAAATTAGAGACAGTCTCTCTGTGTTGCCCAGGCTAGAGGGTGGCAGGCAGCATGAACACAGATCACTGCAGCCTCAGACTCCTGGGCTCCAGCGATCCTGTCCTAGCGTCCTGAGAGGCTGGGACCACAGGTCGGGAACCCCGAGGCTGGTCTCCCACACTGGCGCGTCCCCCTCCATCTCCAGGAGTCCCTCCATGGTCTCTGAGTCTTGTCCCTAAGAGAGCAGGGCACATGCAGCCTGGGGCTGCCAGCAGGATCCTGGCAGAAGGTCCAGGGAGGCCAGAGTGGGGCTGGTGTGTGGGCGGCCTGGGCCACCTCCCAGGGCTGCACCCGCTGCCTTCACAGGCTTGCGCTGGTGGGCAGGGTGTGTGTGAGAGCGAGACAGAGACAGAGAGAGACTCAATGAGAGAGAGATGCAGAGACAGAGACAAGGAAAGAAAGAGAGGCAGACAGAGAAAGAGAGAAACGGAGAGACGTAGAGACAGAGACAGAGTCAGAGAGACACAGAGACAGAGACTGAGAGAAGCCGCGCTGAAGGGAGGACGTGGGCCACCAGCCAGCACCCCTGGAAAGCCCCAGCAAGGATCCCAGCAGCCCCGATGCTGAGACAGAGGTCTCCCCACACGCCCACCTCTGCGGGAAGCAGCTCTCTGCTTTGTCCTGCTTCCTCAAGGGCCACCCTTCCTCTGCTGACCCTCCGTTCACGGGTCCCCTCTGTCTGGCCCGCTGTGTCAGAGTGCCACCCTTTGGGGCATGACCTGGAGTTGGCGATCCGTCTACACTGCGGCTCCCTAAACGAGAGGCAGTGAGGGCAGCCTGGGCCCCCGGCTGCTCCAGACACCCCTTTCCGACGCCCGGAACCAGCACTCGGTGGTCCGCCCTGCTCCCCGAGAAGCCCTGGGCGCCGCTGTGAGCTTGGTCCCGTCGCATGTCCCAGGCACTACGTCATCGCTGAACCCTCCTCCCCAAGGGCTTCAGGGGACCCACGGGGCCCAGCTTCCTCACCTGCAGGGAAGCCCTGCTCCGCCTTGCCTTCATCTCCCTCCACACATCCCCGCTGCTACTTCCCGCCTTTCTTCTGCCCGCCCAGTCCCCTGCTCCTTGTGCCCGAGCTGTGGGACGGGCTGTTCGTACCGCGTCTCCCCCACGGCCCTGGCCAGCCCCCAGCTGCCTCTTCCCTCACTGAAGAATTAGTCCAGCTCTTTGTGCTTCCCTCCGTCCCAAATGCTCTCATTCAGGGACATTTCTTACTCACATTCAAACTATCCCAGGTTTACAAAGAGTGACAAAAGGCGTAAAGAATACGGCATATGACAGCGCCTTGCACAGCTGTAGCAAAATGGTCAAAACCAGAAAACGGACGTGGGCGTGGCGCTAGAAAACAGCTGTTTCGGAATCTGCAGAGTCTGTTCACGTTTTGCCAACTGTCCCTCCCGAGTCCTCCCACTGGCCCCACCCCCTGCTCAGCCAGTTTTGCCTCCCCTGGTCCTCGCCTCTTCCTTTCCACAGGGACTCTTCTCTCGTGTGTGTGTGTGTGTGTGTGTGTGTGTGTGTGTGTGTGATGGAGTCTTGCTCTGTTGCCCAGGCTGGAGTGCAGTGGCACAATCTTGGGTCACTGCAACCGCTGCCCCCCAGTTCAAGCAATTCCCCTGCCTCAGCCTCCCGAGTACCTGGGATTACAGGTGCCCACCACCACATCCAGCTAATTTTTTTGTATTTTTAATAGAGATGGGGTTTCACCATATTGCCCAGGCTTGTTTCCAACTTCCGACCTCAAGTGATCTGCCCGCCTTGGCCTTTCAAAGTGCTGGGATTACAGGGGTGAGCCGCCGTGCCCAGCCTCTTCTCTGTATTGCATGAGATCATGTCCAGAGGTAAAAAGTCAGATTTCCCTGCTGTCCATGGTAACCACATCCCCAGAGCTCCCCATCAGGAAAGCAGAGACCCTCTCAGCATCCCCCACGTGCAAGACAGCTGTGGCCTTGGGCTCTCCATGCCTGCCTCTCCCAGAGTTCCAGAAATAAAAAAGAAGGAGCCCAGGCTGGGCACAGTGACTCACGCCTGTAATCCCACACTGGGGCATCCGGTACAGCTCCAGCGCCCAGACTCCACGCTGCAAGGCCTTGGGGATCCTGCCCTTTCAATCCAAGCCCTCCAAGCACGCACTCACACATGCATATACACATATTCACACCCATCCACATGCACACACACCTGCACACATGCAGCATATACTCATGGAAATGGATATACATGCACAGTCATGCACACACACATGCATACACATGTATTCACACTCATCCACATGCAAACACATGCACACAGGCAGCATACACGCACAGAAACAGGTGTGCATACATGAAGGCATACATGTACATAGCCATCACACACATGCACACACGTTTGCACATGCACACACACACGCACACATAAACACGTGCACATGCATACACACCCTCATGCACACACCCACACATGCATACACAAGCACGCAGACACACTCATCCACATGCACACACACATGTATGCATGCACACACACATGTATGCATGCACACACCTGCACACAGACATGCAGAAACAAGCCTCAGAAGGCAGACTGAAGCCAGAGACGGTCTGGGCTTGCCTCCTGGAGGCCCTGGTTCATTCCTTTCTCACTCTCCTGCTGAGTAAGTCTGGACTTTTCTTATTTCCATCAGAATGAGTGTGTAGGGGACAGAAACCAAGACCTATATGTCCCTGAAGGAAGGACTTCCTGCCTTTCCTTTACCCCTGACACCAGCTCTGATTTTGGGGTCCCTAGAGCAAGTGCCCCCATCCTTTCATCCCTGCTCCGTGGAATTAGGTCTGTGCTTCCGGCTCCTTTGCCTGTGGGACCCTGGGTGCAAAGGCCCCACGCCTCCACATGTGGCTCTCACCGCACGTGACGTCACTCTCCCGCCAACTTGCAATGAAGCAGAGAGGTGGGAAATTGTGAGGTGTGGCATATCAAAATGGGGCCAAAGCTCACACCGCGCTAGGCTCGGCCACAGGCGAGCTCTCCCGACTTAGCTTAGGAGCACTTGTGTTTCTTTCGTGTTCGGTAAAACAACATGTGAAGGAGTCTCCTGTCTAAGAACAGCTGTTTAAGTACAATAGGCCATTGGCCCTGTCTTCTTTCCACCTAAGTGTGTCATAATGCTGATTTTTCTTTTCTTTCTGAGACAGAGTCTCACCTGTTGCCCGGGCTGCAGTGCAGTGGCACCACGTCACTGCAACCTCCACCTCCCAGGTTCAAGCGAGTTTCCTGCCTCAGCCTCCCGAGTAGCTGGAATTCCAGGCGCCACCACCATGTCTGGCTAACTTTTGTATTTTTAGTAGAGATGGGGTTTTGCCATGTTGGCCGTCCTGAAGTGATCTGCCCGCCTCGGCCTCCCAAAGTGCTGGGATTACAGGCGTAAGCCACCGCGCCCTGACTTTTCTCTTTCTTTCCTCTCCTTCTCTTCTTCTCTCTCTCCCTCCCTCCCTTTCTCTCTTTTCTCTCTCTCTTTCTTCCTTCCTTCCTTCCTTTGCTCCCTCCCTCCCTTCTTTCTTCTTTCTTTTCTTTTCTTTCTTTCTCTGGCTCTGTCACCCAGGCTGGGTGCAGTAGCACAATCACAGCTCACTGTAGCCTTAAACTCCTGGGTTCAAGCGATTTTCCCACCTCGGCCTCCTGAGTAGCTGGGACAACAGGCACATGCCACCGTGCCGGGTTAATTTTCTTATTTTTTGTAAAGATAGGATTCTGCTATATTGCCCAGGCTGGTCTCAAACTCCTGGCCTCAAGCGATCCTCCCACCTCAGCCTCCCAAAATGCTGGATGGCAGCTGTGAGCCAGCACGACCGACTCTCATAATGCGGTCTTTGTAACCAGCCAGGCACCAGCCCGACTCTCCAAACGGGCTCTGCAGTCTAGGGACAAGTCCTCAGCTCTGAAATGCACAGGAGGGAGTGAAGTGGACGAATGAAGGACACAGTCAGTACTGAGAATAATCACAGTGATGGCACCCACATACCCTCCCCCACGCAGCCCCTGCCCTGGATGTGACTCTGTTGGTCACCGCAGCCCTCTTTCAGGATGGTGTCAGCACCTGTAGCGGACAGAGTGGCTCAGGGCTCACCCCAGGCCCCTCAGCTCACGCCCATCAGACTTGGGGTTCAAGCTCAGATCTGTTCCCAAGCGAGAGCGCAGCCACCCTGCCCAAAATCGGCCAGTGAAGGCTCACCGAAGAACTGCGAGGAGGCAGATGTCTCACTGGGTAGATCTCAGTTGGGCAATTCCAGAGTTGGGGCCCCACCGGCCACCCCGTTCCTAGCGTGTTGAGAACACATGGACGAAGCCGCAGCCCAGGGCTCCGTGCTAGGGTCCTGGGTTTGAGGGGCGGGACGTGCCTCGTCGGGCTCCCTGCTCACCCCGCCATGGCTCAGCCTCTTCGCTGCTGGCGGGCGGCTGCTGCTCCTCTTCCCTTCGCTCCCTCACTTCTTCCGGCCACCTTTTGTTCTTTTCCCTTGGACGTTTCCAGAAGATACAGAGGCCTCCAGCTGTGAGGAGTCCCACTGCAACGAGGATCAGAGGCAGAGCCGCTTTCCATGCCGTGAACCCGGAGCTTCTGGAAAAGGTAGCTGGAGAAGATTCCAGAAGCCAAGAATGTTGGGGTGAGAGATCATGGGTGTTCTGAGGTCACACTCGCTAACGGGCTCACTGGTCTAGGGGCATCACATTTGCAAACTACTGTGAAATAGTTTCCAAGACAGTATGTATCTGTGCAGGTGGTGCTAGGGACTGAATGTCGGTGCCCCCCAAAGTTCCCAAGTTGAAATCCCAACCCCCACGGTGATGATGTTAGGAGGTGAGGCCTGTGGTAGGTGATGAGGTCATGAGGGTGGATTCCCCATAACGGATATGATGGGAATGGTGCCTTCATCAAGGGGCCCCCAGAGAGCTCCCTCACCCCTTCCACCACGTGAGGACGCACTGAGAAGGTGCCGCCCATAAACCAGCAGGTGACCTCGCCGGACACCAAATCTGCCATGCCTTGATCTTGGACCTCCCCGCTCGCAAAACTTACGATAACCATCTCTCGTTTCTCAGCCACCCCGTCTGTGGTATTTTGTTATAGGAGCCAAAATGGACCGAGACAGTTGGGCATAAACATGTGCGTAGGAAATGGATATCAGATGTATGCGTAGGAAATAGACATTAGATATATACATAAGAAACAGACGTCAGACATGCGCAGGAAACACAGATCAGACGTGCGCGGGAAACAGAGGTCAGACGCGCGCGGGAAACAGGTCAGACGTGCGCGGGAAACAGAGGTCAGACGCGCATGGGAAGCAGGTGTCGGATGCAGGGGTAGGAAACGGACCTTAGATGTGATAGATAGACAAAGAGAAACGCTGAAAAGTAATATTGCGCTCAGGTGAAAATGTGGTGAACCTGAGTAAAGGATGCACAGATAACTTCCCTATTACTCTTGCAAATGTTCTGTGAGTTTGACGTAATTGAGAAAAGTAGAAGTGAAAGTTTTTGTCAAAAGGTAAATCTGGAAGCAACCAAGATGTTTTCCAGTAGGTGAGTGGATCAATAAACAGTGCCGCAGAGGCTCACGAATGCAATCCCAGCACTCTGGGAGGCCGAGGTGGGCAAATCATGAGGTCAGGAGTTCAAAACCAGCCTGACCAATATGGTAAAACCCCGTCTCTACTAAAAATGTGAGAATTAGCTGGGCATGGTGGTGTGCACCTGTAGTCCCAGCTACCCAGGCAGCTGAGGCAGGAGAATCGATTGAACCCGGGAGGCGGCGGTTCAGTGGCTGAGATCACACCACTGCACTCCAGCCTGGCAACAGAGTGAGACTCTGTCTCAAAAAAAAAAACCAAAAAACAGTCTGTTTTTTAAAAACCTTTGATATCAGGATGTACATTTCTTGTTACCCCAAAGGCAAAGCTCTCCCCAGGGTCTCTGCACCCTCATCTCTGTTCCACTTCAGTAATCAGCACCCAGGCAATACACGTCCCAGGACGCCCCAGCCAGGTGTGGACAAGGACCTGCCACCTGTCCCCTCGTGCCACAAGTCCCACAGCTGTCTCTTAATATCCCCAGTGTCCAGGGCCACGGACTCCTGTGCTCAGGGACTGTGAGGACAGACCTGAATGGAGCACTCACCAGGCAGGCGGCTCTCAGCTACCTTCCTCTGCTCAGGGAGGAGGGGGCTGGAGATGGAGCAGGAGAGACCGTCCACAGCCCTAGTCCCACAGGGTCAAGCTGGACGCCACAGCCACAGCCGGTGGTGGCTGAGGCTGAGAGGTTTGTCACGGCGGGCCTCGCCTGGCCCCTGAAGTCTCTCCACTCCACCCGGGGCTCGGGGAACCAGCCTGCGGACGTGCACTCTGCCCTGACTCCGTCCTGCCCGGCCGTCACCTGGATTCTGGGCTCCGTGCCCAGCCCTGAAGGAAGAGACAGCGGCTTGAATCCCTGCAGCCATGGCTGCTTCTACTTAAAGGAAAGAGAAATATCGGGGATTTCCAGTGTATTTTGGGCAGTTTCCCAAACTGCCTACCCTGTCACACGCCATCGCTAACAGAGTGTCCCCATTTCCCAGACGAAAGAGGGGAAGCCAAGCAGAAGGCCCGGGAGGACGGACCACACATCCTGTGTCCCGAACGCAGAATCCAGGTCGCAGGTGGGACCCAGGCTAGTCTGCTTCCGCGCTCAGTTCTGAGTCGCCCGGGAAGGCCCCGGGATCTCGACTCTCCTCTCTCTCGGCCCCTCTGTCTCCTGTCACTTTCTCTCTGTCCCTCCCTCTGTTGCTGACTCTCTTTCCCACGTTCTCTCGTTCTCATTCTCTTTTACTGTCTCTCTGTCTCTGTCTCTGTCTCTGTCTCCCTCACTCTTTCTGTCGCTGACTCTCTGTTTCACTCTGTGTCTCACTTTCTTTCTCTGTCTCTCTCCATCTCTGTCTCTGTCTGTTTCACTCTCTCTGTGTCTCTCAGTTTCTCGTTCTCTCTGTCTCTCTCCCTCTCTGTCTCTCCTGTCCTTCATTCTGTGTCTCTGCCTGTCTCTCCGTCTCTCTCTCTCCCTGTCTCTGTTATTCTCTGTCGTTCTTTATCTTTCTCTGTCTTTTTCTCCATCTCTCTTTCCACCTGTCTGTCTCCCTGCCTGTCTCTCTCGTCCTCTCTGTCCATCTCTGTCTCTTTCATTCTCCACGTCTCTCTTACCCACTTTCCAGTCCAATGGTGCAAGGAGGGAAGGAAGATGAGGAGGGTGGACACCCTGGGCCCCGAGGCCGTGCCCAGAAGCGGGGCCGAAGCCCGCTAGCCGCCGGCCTCACCTGCTACCCGCACCTGCACCACGGCCTCCCCGAACTCCGCGCCGTCCTGGAAGCGGCAGCAGTACGTCCCGTTGTCGAAGGCGGTGACGCTGTGAATCCTCACGGTGGCCTTGCCGCCTGCCACGTGGTCGTTCACGAAGGTGGTCCTTCCCCTGTACTGCGGCACCTGCTCTGCATCCACGTCCATCCCTCTCTCATGCACGTGCACAGCCAGGGAGGGCTGGCACCGGTACCACCTCAGCTCCATGTCCTCGGCGCTGACACTGGGGAACAGCTGGCACCACAGCTCCACCTGTCCCCCAGCCATGGCCAGAATAGGAGCCTGAGGCCCAATGACGTCAAAGTTGGCTTTCCCTGGGGGAGCAGATCGGAAAGGGCTGGGTTAGGCCGTGTGTGAGGAGGCCAGGGGGTTCCCCCCACCCGCCCCTCCGTCGTCTCGGAAGCTGGGGGGACCTCTTGAGCCCTGAGCTGCCGGGGAGAGGCCTCAGCTTCCTGCCGTGCTGGACACGCCCCCCACGCCGGGGCACCTGCCTCCACTTGCACAGGGGTCTGTCCAGCAGTTTTGACAGATGCTAGCCAGCGGGAGCTGCAGGAAGACCATGGTGACAAAGGGCTGGAAGGCGTCCCGAGCACGCGTCACTGCCATTCCTGCCGGCAGGAGCCACCGCCAGGAAGCAAACAGGTGCAGAGGAAAAACGTCCTGGAAGAGAAAGCAGAGAAAGGTCATTCACTCCCACTCCCAAACCAGCCATGAATGCTAGAGACGGAGACACAGCAAGCCTCGCCTGGCGTGCGCCTGTGCCCATCTCCCGCGGAGATGCACGTCTCACCCCAGCCCGTCTGCGGAATTCCACAGGGACACCTGGGAGCGAAGGGGTTTGATTTTCTCACCTGCTCATGAAGGGCCATGGCCCAGCCTCTAGCCGGTGACTGTCAACCCCAGAATGCTGGGGGAGAAAACCCGGGCTCGGTGAAGCGAAGTCGAGGTCAGGATGACATCAGGGGATTCCCTTAATGTCCCTTGCTTTCCTGCTGTCCCCACGGGAAATTCTACACTCAGGGGCTGGGGGCTGGGCCCGATCCTCAGAACTCTTCAGCAGGGACGGGCAGGCTAAGCCCCTCATGAGTCTCCCGTGAGCACTTCCTGTCCCTCGGTGTCGAGAGAGGTGTTGGGAAACAGGTGTGTGGCCTTGGGCGGCTCTACCCGGCACAGCCATCCAGGCTGGGCATTTGTTGTGTGTGATTAGGGAGTTATGTGGGCACAGGCTCTTGTCCTATTCAGTTCGGGCCTTGCAAGAAGGCCCTGGGGTCCCTCTGCCCCTTGGGGATGGGGATAGGGTGGCGGAAGCAGAGACACTGAAGAGCAAACAGCATCCTGACCATAGGTAATGCTGACCTGGGCTGCGTGTGGTGGCTCACACCTGTAATCCCAGCACTCTGGGGGGCCGAGGTGGGCAGATCATGAGGTCAGGAGTCCGAGGCCAGCCTGACCAACATGGTGAAACCCCGTCTCTACTAAAAATACAAAGATTAGCTGGCATGGTGGCACACACCTGTAATCCCAGCTACTCAGGAGGCTGAGGCAGGAGAATCATTTCAACCTGGGAGGAAGAGGTTACAGTGAGCCAAGATTGTGCCACTGCACTCCAGTCTGGGCAACAGAGCGAGACTCCGTCTCAAAAAGAAAGAAAACGCTCACCTGGCACTGAGGGTGGCTGCAGCTTCCCAGGAAGTCCTGGCGACTTTGGGGGAATGAATTTAGTTTCCTGCCAACTCCAGGTGGGGCGTGACTCCAGGCAGCAGTGTGAAAGGCAGCCTGGGCATCTGGCAAAAGCCACCAAACCCCCAGTTTCCAGAGATTCTTCCTTTTGTTTTTTTGCAAAAACATGTACCGGTGCCTTTATGGCAGTTGCAGCAGAAAAGAAAAGGCTTCTGGAAGAGTGTGGTCCCCAGTGTGGAACGGCCTGGGCTGGGCAGCAGGAGATACGCCCGCCCTCAGGGAGGAGGCGGCTCAGGCTGGGACCCAGGCCAACCGCAGGAGCTGCAAACGCAGATAAAGCCCCCCGTTATCTGGCGGGGTGCAGACCCAGCTGAGCTGGCCCGGGTCCTTCAGAAAAGGTGTTTATGATCATGCTGCAATGGCCTCGTTCCTGTATTGTCCTGGGGGAACATTCAGGGCTCCCCTGCCCCAGCCCTTCACTGCCCACCACGGCTGGGGGGCCTGGGTGTCTGTTCTCACTGGCAACCTCCCTGGCCTGGCTTAGAACCTTCAAGCTCATTTCCAGCACCCAGCAGCCAGGCCCCTTCCCTCCTGGCCTTCTTGTTTGATGACTCAAAAGTCTGGGCCTTTTTCTGGGGGTTTTGGTGAGAAAGGAGCCCAGGGAGGAGCTGCCTCGATTTCCTGGAGGGAGGGGCTTCACTGGAGCGCCACAGAAGGGTGCTGAGCACTCGCGTGCCCGCGGGCGCCAGAGGAAATCCACCTGGGCCCTCCCATGACCCTCCTCGGGGAGTGTCCCTTAGGCCAGCCAGCTGTTCCCCTTCTATATGTCCACACGTAAGAATCATGTCATCCTGTGATCTGCTTTTACCAGACTATGACCTAAAACTCCAATCACTTGTCCTTTTTAAAAAATTAATTGTCAGGGCGCGGTGGCTCACGCCTGTAATCCCAGCACTTTGGGAGGCCAAACTGGGTGGATTGCCTGAGGTCAGGAGTTCGAGACCAGTCTGGCCAACATGGTGAAACCCCATCTCTAATAAAAATACAAAAAAAATTAGCCGGGCATGGTGGCTTGAACCTGTAATCCCAGCTACTCGGGAAGCTGAGGCAGGGGAATCACTTGAACCAGGGAGGTGGAGGTTGCAGTGAGCCATCACGCCGTTGCACTCCAGCCTGGTGACAGAACAAGACTCCGTCTCAAAACAAGAAAAAATACATATATATTGTTAAAGTCAGCGTCTCCCTCTGTCACCCAGGCTGGAGTGCGGTGGTGTGATCTCGGCTCACTGCACCACTCCTCTCCTGGAATCAAGCGATCATCCCATCTCAGCCTCCCAAGTAGCTGGGACCATCACGCCTGGCTAAATTTTTGGCACTTTTGGTAGAGATAAAGTCTGGCCATGTTGCCCAGGCTTGTCTCAAACTCCTGGGCTCAAGTGATCCTCCCACCTCAGCTTATCAAAGTGCTGTGGTTCCCGGTGTGAGCCACTGCGCTGCGCCGAGGTACACTTGTGATGACTGGGAAGGAGGACTCAGGCTTGAACACCCTAGAGAGAGCTGCTAGGATGCCCAGAGCACACGGTGCTGAGAGCAGCTGCGACACCTGCTGTTGGACAAAGACTGTCACAAGCACTGGGATAGCGATGGAGGAGAAAGCTGTCCTGGAGGTGTGGGCTTTCAGCCCATGGGTGGGTCACCTGACACGGTGGTCCTGTGCACGAGCCCACGTGTGGCCCAGAGCCTCTCCGGTGGGCAGCCAGGGCTCCTGCAGACACGTGCAGCCCAACCCACCTCAGGTGCAATGTTTAAAGTTCAAAGGCAAGGAGAAGACAGGAGGTCACACACTGCGTAATTCCATTCATGTGAAATGACCAGACAGGTAAATGCAGGGACAGGAATAAAACTGTGCTTGTTGGGAGCTGAGGAGATGGGGGAGGTGGAAATGGACATGAGGAACAACCGTTTAATATTTTCAGGGTTTTATTTCGAGTGATGAAAATATTTTGGAACTAGATCGAGATGGTGTTTGCGAAACACCGGGAACGTACTTACACCTTAAAATGGTATACTTTAAAATGGTCAGTTTTGGCCCAGTACGATGGCTCACACCTATAATCCCAGCACTTTGAGAGGCCAAGGTGGGTGGATCACCTGAGGTCAGGAGTTCAAGACCAGCCTGACCAACATGGTGAAACCCTGTCTCTACTAAACACACAAAAATTAGCTGAGTGTGGTGGTGCATGCCTGTCATCCCGGCTACTCAGGAGGCTGAGGCAGGAGAATCGCTTGAACCCGGGAGGCAGAGGTTGCACTGAGCTGAGATTGTGCCATTGCACTGCAGCCTGGATGACAGAGTGAGACTCCATCTCAAAAACAACAACAAAAAAGGTCAATTTGCCGGGCGCGGTGGTTCATGCCTGTAATCCCAGCACTTTGGGAGGCCGAGGCGGGTGGATCAGGAGGTCAAAAGATCGAGACCATCCTGGTCAACATGGTGAAACCCCGTCTCTACTAAAAATACAAAAAATTAGCTGGGCGTGGTGGCGCGTGCCTGTAATCCCAGCTACTCAGGAGGCTGAGGCAGGAGAATCGCCTGAACCCAGGAGGCGGAGGTTGCGGTGAGCCGAGATCGCGCCATTGCACTCCAGCCTGGGTAACAAGAGCGAAACTCCGTCTCAAAAAAAAAAAAAAAAAAAAAGTCAATTTGATATTATGTAAATTTTATATCAAGTTACAAAAAAGAAAGAAAAACACAAGGAAAAGCAGAAAAAAAGAAAAAAACAAAAACAACAGAGCATGAGAGAGAGGAGAGAGAGAAAACAAAGCAAAAAAAAAGTTACACGCCCCCCTCTTGTGGATAGGATTATAGCTAAAAAAACCAGAAAACCCCCAGATCTCAACTTTGTTAAAGATTGGGGTTGTCTGGCCTTTGGCGCCCTCTGCAGAAATGTGTGTCAGTGCACCAGCCTCTCTCCCCAGTTCTTTTCTTCCCAACTTTATTTTAGATTCAGGGGTACGTGTGCAGGTTTGTCACACAGATTGACTGTGTGAGGCTGAGGTTTGCGATCTCAGGGATCCCAGCACTCGGAGTGAACGTCGCACCCAATAAGTTAGTTGTTCAGCCCTTTCCCCTCCCTTTCTCTCCGCTTCTGTCCACGCGTGCCCAATGTGTGGTCCCCACTTATAAGTGAGGACACACAGCGTTTGGCTTTCTGTTCCTGTTTTAATTCACTTAGGATAATGGTTTCCAGCTGCATCCGTGTTTTTGCAAAGGACATAATTTTGCTTTTTCACGGCTGTGTCGTATTTCATGGTGTGTATGCACCACATTTTCTTTATCCCCCAATGACAGGCATCTAGGTTGACTCCATTTCTTTGCTATTGTGAATAGTGCTGCAACAAACATAGGAGTGCATGTCTATTTGGTGGAATGATTCCTTTTCCTTTGGGTATGTACCCAGGAATGGCATTGCTGGGTCAGACGGTAGTGCTGCTTTTAGTCATTTCAGAAACCTCCAAACTGCTTTCCACAGTAGCTGAACGAATACACCCCCAGGTGGTATATAAAGGTTGCCTTTTTCTCTGCAAATTTGCTCATACCTGTTAATTTTTTTACTTTTAATAATAGCCATTCTATTGTGGGGTGGTGTCTCCTTGCGGTTTGATCTGCGTTTCTGACGAATAGTGACGTTGAGCGTTTCTCACGTTTGCTGGCTGCATGTATGTCTTCTTTTGAGATGCATCTGTTCATGTCCTTCTGTTCTGGTCACCCCCAGGACCTAAAAATGGTGCATATAGTGGAACTTCATGTGACCTGGGGATTTCCAAATCTGAAGTCTGTCCAGGAATTCATTTCGAAATGTGGACAAGCTGAGGTCAGGAATGAGACCGTCCCTCTGACAGACAACGCAGAGATGGAGGAGCAC